CTTTAAGGGTAAACCTAAGAGACTTAGAAGAAGGTACAGAATATGAAGTGATTATAGATGCAATTAATAACGATGGCACGACATCAAGTGATCCAATTATAATTAGAACCAGTGGTACAGGTAAGTCACAAAAAAAAAATCATTTAATAATAGTAACACATTTTAGTCCGTGCTTCCGCAGCACTTGTCCGATAAATTATCGGAAAGAGGCCATTTGTTATTTTTCTCTGCGGAAACGCGGCCCAAAGTACGAGAATCAGATTATCGGAAAAAGCTCCAAATCTGAAAATAAATAACTCTTGACCAATGTCATATCACGGCCATGCAAAGAATTCTGCTGAGTAGCTAGTTTCTAAGGCAACAGACCTAGTAGTTAGTAGGCCTGCCTAGAATCAAACACTTCATAATAAAAAGTGAGAACATTTTTCATGTTTATTAGATATTTTTAAAAATCCTGAAAAGGCCATAAGTCAATCTTGCTTGCATCTGGCATTGAATTGGGCAGTACACCAGATGAAATTTTCCTGCTATTTTCCAAAAAGAACATGCACATGGACAGTATGGTACACAGAAGCAGTGGCTTAATTAAATCTTTCATCCAAAATCTAACCATCTAGCGAGAAGAGAATACTTTTGGAATTAAACCAGATCAGACAGGAGACCAAAGATCTGCGTAGACACACTTTGGCTACCGCCAGCTTAGCCGACTGAGCTTTGATTTTCTGTAATGTAATAAGCAATGACAGAACTGTTCACCAAATAGAAGGAACCAGTGCCTCTTATCTTGCAACCTAGCTCCCCAAAGAATGCTGTGTTCTTTAAGATGCATTTGAGTTATGAACCTGGGACTAAACTTGAATGTCTCATCTGAAAGTCTGTGCACTATGACCTGATTTTAATGGTTCATTGCACACATAGTGGTTTCCACCAGTTGAACATTGGAGCTTGTTTACCCACTGTGATATGCTTCTCTCATCTTTAAAGTTTGTTCTGAACATTACTTTAATTCAAGTAAGAACACTCTGCTCTCTTTGGATAAATGTTGCAGTGTTTATCAAGAGTAGGATATTACATCATCAGGACACTATTCAATTTGGCTGATTTCTCATAAATTAAATAATGCTAAAAAAAAATCAACAAAATTTACCATTTCAACACTTCAATAATTTGGAAGAACCTCTCAATTGAGCATTTTGCATGAAACCTCAAGCTATTTTATAAGCACTGTAGTGAATAATTATTGGTAATGTTTTTTTCTTTTTCTGTTGATACAGGTACAACTAAGAGTGACAAAGCCTCGATACAGCCGTGGGTAATTGCCATGATTTGTATTATCCTGCTACTAGTCCTAATTCTTCTGCTGCTGTGCTTCATTAGGAGTCAGAAAGGAGGAAAATACAATGGTAGGTTGAAATCTAATTTAATCTACTCTGGTCATTTATTTAGCACCTTTCTTTACAGATATGAAGTGCTGTAAGTTTTTTCCTGATAATTGGGTCCACCTGCTTAAGTGTTGCTGCCATCTTGGTGCAGGAGCAGGCAACTCCACCAGGTATCCATTTATACTCCTGGGTAGCGAGAATCAACGTAGATAAAGTGCCTTGCTCAAGGACACAAGCGAAATGCACAGTTAGAAAAATCAAGGTTGCAATATATAAATAACTTTTATAAGTTAAAATCAGGGTTGCAACTTCATATTTTGCTGTATACATGAACTGATTTGGTTATGATGCGTGGAGGTTTTTTGGTGTATGCACGATGATCCCTTATTGCAATATGACACCCCACAGTTAATTAAAAGACCAGCCTGAGCTTCCCCAGGGGCAAGCTTTCTTTAAATAGTATGTGTAAATGCAAACAGTACAAAAATTGTCAAACCCACAACCAGACTAATGCCAGTTCCAGGGGACTTCAAACCTGGGCTGGCTTGAACCAGCTCTGTTCCACAAGTTTATGGTTTTTAGCTGGGCCTAGGTGATGCGGGAGATTTTGGTATACACAACATGCTGTAAAGCCCTTTTCAAACTTGTGATGTCATCATGACCATATTTAGGCATGTCACATGATTTTTTCAAATAAATTCTTATAGTCTGGACCAGGCTTGCGGTAGGTAAATTTAATTGGAAGAATTTTCAATATTTAAATTAAGTTGTTATATCTGCAGTTTATTTTTACAAATATTTGTACCCAAAATGCTTTGCTCTTTATTTTCTAATTGCTTGCAAACTTAATTTTTATTTTGCCGTTATTATTTTGGCCCTATTTTGTTGAATATTTTCAGTATCTGATAAAGAAGATGCGTTAAGACAGTTGGATTTGGAGGCAGCTCCATTGAAAGACCAAAATGGATTCAATGAATATTCACCGACAGAGTAAGTTCAAAGAAACTCGCACACAAATGAATACCAAATGAATTTTTTTAAGTGTTACAAGTATTATTTTTATCCCTTATTATTTCAATCCCACTATATATCAGTTATCATGCAGTGTTATTGTACAAATGTTTTATTTTGATTATTTGATACAGTTGCTGTTTTTGTTGTGATCTGCATACTTGCAGGGGCAGTAGACACTTTACTATCATATTCATAAAGCGTAAGAATATTTTGGTGTATAAAAGTAATTCCAGTTGGATGAATGATGGGATATCCATCATTGCATCATTAGCTAATGATAGAAATAACAGTCTTACTTTAGTCATGACGTTAGAGTCATGCAGCTGGCTCTGTTTAGTAAGCCTACGAAATATGATGGCATGTCTAGGCCTAGATCCAAAAAAGAACCAAACTAATGTGTAATTAGGCCTACCACCACTGACTTGTGAGTTAAACAAGCCACGAAAAACTATATCGGGCACTAGTATACACGCTAGTTCTGAGAGCCTATTTTTTATTGTTGCATGTAAATTTTGTTACTTGTTAATTTTATGTGATTAATTACTTTTTATTTATACTTCCAATTACCAATAAGATTCAAGCTACAAAATTCTTGTGTTATAATTTGAATTCCTCTTATTTCAAAAAGATCGGAATGTTCTTTGTAAATAAGGTATGAATTTAGACTATAAATTTTGCTTACGTCTTATTTTAGAATTTCCCTTTTGGTTCTGTTATTTCAATTTTATTGCTCTTCATTTGCACTTTCTTAATATGCTTAAACTTCTTATAAAATAAAGTTTTATGTTATTTCTTTTTAAATATTTTGCTTTAAACAAGAAATTAGGGGGAAAATAATAAATACACTAAAGCCATAAAAAGTCAAAATATTTATGGAAATGAATGATGAAAAGATGATGAAGAGATAATGAAGCAAATCTGATCCAGATTAAACAAGGACCAGTTATGCGAAATTATAAATGTGCAAAGATTTGCCAATGACATCCTTAAAGCTTAAAGATGTATTGTCCCATGCTAAATACCGAAAAAATCATAAAAATTTTTTTTTGAAATTAACTTGCCTATTTTGAAGTAACATGAAAGTTATCAACTGTAGTGTATTAAAAAAAATGTTTACCTATCAGTTTACAGCGAAAAATGATAGAAACACTTCCAGTCACTGGAAGTGTTTTATTATTTTTATTATAATTTTTTGGTTTAAAAATCAGGGTACACATTTTTTAAATTCAATAAATTTTATGCAAAAGTTAATAATTTGTATGCTATTGCAATATGAGCAAGTTTATTTCAAAATTATTTTTTATGATTTTTTGACATTAGCAAGGGACAATACATCTTTAACTTAAATTCTAATAAGATCCTTACAGAAACAAAACAAGTGTAACATTGAAGAGGAATATTATTTTGAAAATGTAAGTGATTTCTAATGAGAGAGGTTTACCTCAATTTACATTAGGTCCAGAAATATTTGCCAGCGAGCTGAGAAAGTACACATGGCTTGATAGATATGTAAAGGCTGGCTATGTTCCACGAATACCTTCTATTATTGAAGCTTTTATTTGCATGACATGGTAGAACGTAATGACATCACTAATCTCCTTTTTGCGTGAATTCTAAGACACAATTTGACAAATTATATGTTGTGCAGAGAACTTAGGATGGTCAGGCATGAGTGAATCCGTTCTAGTGTAGAATCGCCATACAAATCAAAAACTCCCTAAAATATTCTAGGATTTGGACACCTATTGTGACCTTTCACCCTATATACTTACCCTGCTACCTTGAACCCTGAGACTACGATTCTTCATGCTTTTTACGCTGTTATTTGTCAGAATAGTTGAAGCGCCTCTTTACGGCTGCTAGGTTGTCATGGACCACGCCCATACGCAATTCGGCACAATGACGCTGCAAGTTATGGGTTATTCTCCTACCTTTACCTTTATGCTGTATATTTTCACATGCCTTGTTTTTAGTACTATTATTACTAGCTCTTCCTTATGTATTTAGTACACAGCCCATGCCTTCAAGGTGTGCTACCTACTAAACATCACCTGCAGTAACCTAACCTACTCATCACTTTGAAGTTTAGAATAAAATCGTTTGAAGGCCAAAGACCTTCTCGATATATTCAGCATTGTTTTCTGTCAAATTCATTTACTGTTCATTTTCAAATGTTGTCTTGTTCACACAATCCATACCGTTATGGTGTGCCCTCAGAGAACACCACTTCTGTAAAACATAACTTTCGAGTTTCAAATATAATGTTTTTGAAGGCCGATGTGTGAAAATCTCCTCACCTACACCATATTAATCCTTATGATTTTATAAACCATTTTATCTATAGTATGCACACTTTAAATTCCTATTTCGTTTTCTTTTCTCAGAACCAATCACATCACTTACCGTAAAATGAACCTTAGCTACTATAATTTTGGTCACAGAGAAATAACCAAGCTACCGTGTCTGTAACTGTTTAAGTGACACCATCTTGTTGAATATATTTTGCTTAAGGATTAACAAATGAAATTGGCATTTGATACCTGATTTCCAAAAGTGGATCCTGTAGACTCCCATTTTTTGATGATTATTTTTTTTTGTTCTGGCAGTTACCACCTGTCTTTTGGTTGGTTGATTTGTGTTCCCTCCTGTCATTTGATTGGTTGATTTTTGTTCCCTCCTTTCTTGATTGGTTGATTTTTGTTCCCGAATCCCTCCTTTCATTTGATTGGTTGATTTCTGTTTCTTCCTGACTTTTCATTGGTTATTTCCTGTTCCTTTGTCTTTTGATATGGTGATTCTGTTTTCTGCAAAAGTTTGTCAAATTTCTTTGCAGGACCAACATGTTCATATGATCATTTTTGTAAGATTTATTCATCCATCTATATTTGTTAAAAGTGAAAACATCCAAAACCTTGCCAACTTATTATGCAGCAATTGGAATGTGTATGTATACACACACATTGATTTGGAGAATTTATGTACTGTACTGTACACTAAACATGATGTAAATTGATGGCACTTTTGTTTTTGTTGAGGGACTTGACGTTTCGATTGAGTTTCTTCAATCATTATCAGGAGAATAATATCTATTGAAACGCAATCGAAATGTTGAGACCCTCGCAACAAAAAACAACAGTTTTTTCAGAGCTATCTATGTGGTACAAGCATTTATTATTATTGTTACTTCGCCATGCAAACCTTCAAACAATAATATTAGGTTTATGATAATATTTTATTTTAATGTCTTAGTATTTTAATAGTACTCAACGTAAGTCTCAGAGAGCTTCACATTATTACTCCAAGCATTAAAACCGTGCCTATGGGACACATACTTATCTTCCTAGGAAAATATTCTATACAGTATTGTGTACATTCTTGCATGAAATAAATCAGAACATTTGCACTTTCACTGGGGAGAATGTACTTTACAGGGTACACTGAAAATGATATAAATAGAAGCACTTTACTTGGGAGAATGTACTGTATATCTGACAATCATGTATTATAAATGGCACTTTCATATGGGAAAATGTATTGTAGCCCCCAACAGTGATAAATTGATGACACTTTCACTTAGTAGAATATACTGTATATCTGACAATTAAATGACACTTTAATTTTGAGGAATGTACTGTAGACCCAAAAGTGATATAAATATATTGAAATTTCAAATGAGAGAATGTACTGTAGACCCAATATTGACAAAGACAGTGGCACTTACACTTGGGAGAATGTACTGTACACCCATCATTGACAAACAGGTGGCACTTCCACCTGGCCATGACATGAGCAGTCAGAAACCACACTAACTGAGAAAATGTACTGTACACCTGACAATGATGCCTTCACCTGGGTTAATGTAATGTATACGTGAAAAAATTCACATGGGAACATGTTTTATGTACTCTACACAGTAATGGCTGATGGTTAAAATACTAACATGTTTATTGTGGCATGTTTTGCTGTATATTATATGTAAAGCCAAATTTTGAAAATGCTCTTTTTTCTTTCAGTGATTCGTGCGAAGAGAAAGATCCTCTCAAAAATTTAGAGAGTGCGGGAAATGATGAAAGTGATAGCGACAGCCTAGCAGACTACGCAGATGGCAATGCAGATCAATTCAATGAGGATGGGTCTTTCATCAACGAATACGGAGACAATCGTCGACGGAATCCAGACAAGGAATCTTCCAACGCAGCCTACAACACATTTGTGTAGTTTTAGTGTAAAAATATGAAGTGAAAATTAAGAAACGAAAAATATTGCACATAAGAGTTGTAATGCGGTGACATTCCTGTCTTTCATGGATGAAGAGAGAAAGAAAACCAGATTGAACGGGTTCGATCTCACTTTTCTGTGTTTCTTTTTGAAAAAACATTTAGTGTTTTTGTCAAATATTGTTTTCATTTCCAAAGATAATAGTTATTGACTGTATTTGTGAATTTTAAGATTGTACATTCTTGTAGTTATGCTTAGATGTGAAATCATTATTAGTACCCCAGTACTATTGCTACAATATTATTTGGTTGAAGAATTGCAAGCAGTGACGTTCCTCCGTGAATTTTTACAGAAACTGGATACGAATAGGAAGAAGCAGGGCTTGTTCATGCTCCACAGTCACAGATCCTTCAAGATCTATAATGCAGTGCTTAAAAACTGTGACATTTTATTGCATTTTGTTTATAAATGTTATTGAAAGCCCTGGGAATGTTGTGATATCTTATGTAAGGATGTATGGGGTTAACAAGAGACGTATTGGATTTCACCAAGGATGAAAATGAAGAAAGAAACTTTCTAATCACCGGAGACTAGAAAATGAGCGAGTGCCTAGAATCTTGTAATTTTGATGGAGATGAAGACAATTTCAAGGGATTGAGAGAATGGCCGCAGGTGGACAAAGCAGACGATTTTTCTTTGCTGAAATAAATTAAATTTGTTTTGAATCCGCAATTGTTTCTTTAATTTAGATTAGTTAGTAAGTTTTTCATATGTGTATTAAATTAAATAAAACAACACCTACTCAAAAAAGATGTATAAATAAGCAATGTAGTGTATAGTAGTTTCAATGTTATACCACACATATCGAAAAATATATGCTAAGAATTGGCTGACAAGTAATTTAAGATGTTTTATAATGTTGTAGAAATCAGGAGTTGTATCCTAAACAGACATAATGACTTGACATTTGACTAATGTAAACATTTTTGAACAAAGTGAATTTTAGAGATTGATGTCGTGAATTCAATTGGATGTAAATTTTTATATTGTTGATACTGATCTTGTGGAAATGACTGATAAGAAAGGAGTTTTAAAGCTGTAAATTCATAATTTCAACTATTATTTTTATGAGATTTTAACCTATTAGTCAATTTACAATTACATATTTTTTTCATTTTAATTAGACCAAAATATCTTTCTTGTTTACTGCCTTGATCAAATTAATACATAGGCTTGTCTTGCACCAGCTCTCTGCTGGTTGGTGACTGGTTCTGTAGCACCCACTGGGTCCTTATTTTTATTGACCCTTACAGGCTTAAGATTATTTTAGTTATTGTTAAATAAATCTCACATAGTACATCAGTTACTGAAGTCTCGCTTTCAATTTTGGATAGTAACTGTTATTACCAACTTCTTTATCGATGAACAACTTCTGTTGCACAGGTGACAATCTTCTGTTGCAATGCTTAACAGCTTGTTTTGGTCCTACAGTGCCCTCATAGGCCAACAGAAAAAAAAAATATTTGTTATATTTGTTGTAACCTTGATAATTTATTATAAAAATATATTTATATTATCTCTGAAATATGATTAAATTATATTTTACTTGATTGAAAACAATAATTTTATGAAAATATTTATTGTTAAAAAAAACTGTTCAAAAAGTGAACCCCTGGTTAATCTGAATAAGTATACAGTATGTTCAATGGAACAAAACGTGTTATCTTCAATTAATATAAACACCTGTCGATCCAATTAAAACACCTGGTAATTTCCCCCTTGAAAGTGTGTGTATCAAACTTAGATTCTTTTTAGTTATTTAATGTGAACATTGAATGTTTAACAAAAAACATATGTGTCATGTAACTGAACATAATTTTACCATCAGGTTAATACATTTTCTAAAACATTTACGTTAATTACTTAAATATGTTGTTTAACGAGATTTTGATATATCAGCAATTCTTGATTTTATATTCTGTGGACCAATGAGTAACATGTCATAAATATTTGATGTGTACATACATTGCATGATCTGTTTAATTAATTGCATAATTGCATTACAAGGAAAATGTTTAATATTAGCTTGTCAGCAAGTGGAATCCAAATTAGTAAGTGCTTATAGAACATGCATGAATGGTCCAAGAATTGTTTTTGTTTAGCTGCAGAAAACGTTACTTGTGAATGGTTAATGTACTTGTCCTGTTCTTCTTGCTCATTGGTCCACAGAGTTAAGACAATAAGTCCTTTATGATTTTATACATTTGTTTGTCTGTGTTTATAAGCTTGATTTATATTCTTCAGTTACATCTTGATATTCTGTTACCAGAACAAACTTTCTTCAAAATTCGGAAGTATGTAAGGTATTAGCACCGTGAAGAATACTGTACTTTTGATTCTATTAAGAAAGTTTCCATGGTGAATTTAAAAAATTCCATTTATATGTTTTTAAATCTGTTTGCCATTTTTTACATGTCTGTTGTGCTTAAAAGTATTAATTTTGAAATTATAATTCCTTTGTGTGTATGTATGTTTTTTATCACTTGGTGTGTTGTGCTTACGTTAGCTGGAAACATGTATAAATATGGTTCGTAGAATTATCAAATAGATTGTTGGTAATACTGTATTCTCATTTGAATGAGCTGACATTGGAACTGAACATGGAGCTATATATTTTTGAATGACATCAACATGGATATGACAATAATTTTTCCGAAGTTTTCTGCAGCTAATACTTAATTTAAAAATAATTGTTAATTTGGATCAAATTGCATGATAAACCGCTTATATGGATGTCAAGTACTGATAAGCTATCATAATTAATATTAACTTCAAAATTTCTAAATCTGTGTTGGTGTTATTGAAAATTATTTTTCCATATCCTCTTGTTATGTGTGATTGTATGCCATATTCCAAGTAAATATTGGTGTGGTAATTACAAAACAGAAATGTAAAAATCTTAATACAACAATTTTTTTCAATTTATTTCATTGTATTCTAGATGATAGAATTATTTTTGAGAAGTCAGGATTGTACCAAGAGTTTTGAACTGTAGAATGTCCAATGATTCACACCCATCCACACCCACACATATTGTTTAATATTTTAAATATGTAAATTTCCATAAATATATGTTTAACTTAGGTGACAAACCATATATGTATTTCTTAGTGTTGGTAAAATATAATAAATCTGAAATGATATTTGAATATTTTTGTCTCTTTATTGTACAAGGGCAATACGTATCACTGCCCATACTGAAAGACAACCAAATGATGTAAATAATAACATTAAGTTAAAATTATCTTTTGGCTGGCATAGCAGATAGCTGGTATACCATGTGACTGACATCCAAGATGGCTGTTTGCTAGAATTATGGCTGACCAGTTGGCTGGTTTACCAGGTGGCTGGTTTACCAGGTGGCTGGAATAACACGTGGCTGGAATACCAAGTGGCTGGAATGCCAGGTAGCTTTACTCACAAAATATCTGGCCTACAATTGGCTAGGGTACAGTTGCAAATGGCTGACATACCAGATGACTGGACATACTAGGTTCTGGCATGCCAATGACTAACCTAGCAGACATCAACAAATATTTTACATGGTTTAGTTCCAACCACAGGCGGCAGCACTGGGTGGGCTTTGGCCTACTCAACAATTTTAATGGGTGGACCATCCCTCCTGTAGGCCCCACCAATAATTTGCCAAAATAGGTTGAATATAGATTTTGACAAAACAAGAGGCTGATATAATCATCAGTTGGCTGTTGTTTATTGTTGTTGGAAGGTATTATAGGAGATTACATTGTCACCAATTTAGTCTCCCTGAACAAAAAAAAACAAAAAAAACAAAAATTTGAAGGCCTTTGCCCCAGGACCCCAACCAAAGGTCCTTGATGACCCCAGCTTTGGTTTCTCAATTCCTTGCAAAGTGCTTACAGGACCGACAACGATCAAACTGTGCTGCTGCCTATGGTTCCAACTAATTTGTTGATAATATTCATAAGTTTCCGAGCGCTGTCACCACCAAGTGGTTCATCTTGATTCCCCAAGGTCCGTTTGCCTGTGGTCAACATGAAATTCAAAATATATTTTTCAAGGTGGCACGTAAATTAGTGAATGACTCTCATTTGGCACATGTGTGTTGTCTAACAAACTACTTAGAAGGTGATAATAATCATTGATAAATGTGTGGTATTGGATGTCATGTGGTATATTTACATATAACAGTAATCAAATTATGTAAGAATGGTAACGAGTCATCAATAAAACTACTGTACACATCTTTGTACAGAGTTGTTTTAAATCATTGATAATTGTCACGATTAGATCTATGTGAATATAACATTTATATACTGTGCCAGGTGACTATCTCAACAATAACAATGTGTTTAAATGGTGTGCACCTCAATTGTCATGTCATACGGTTGTGTCATTACTATGGCAACAACCACCTATTCAAGTCTGATTGGTTGATATGTGAATTTTTCAAAATATTAATTTTAATTAAACCATATTATGTAATTATTAATAGTGCTTTAAAGTTTATTCTTATAAATGGTCAAGAGTGATAAAGAGTGAGATCCTAGTATATATCTTGGAGATAAAGATGAAGCAAGAATGCTGATCCCCAGTGTAGGATGCCAAAGATAAATTATTTTAGGCTGTTAGCATACTTAGCATCTTCTTTAATTGCCATTCCTTATTTTGGTTCATGCATCAGATTCACATTTTTATCCCAGTTGATGTACATTATGATGTAGCGTTCATTATTACCTGTGTAGATCAAGTTAAAATATTTAATTTCCCAGTTTTAAATGCAAACAGGAAATACAAAATTTGTTTTTTAACGTTGTTTAAAGCTAGATGCTGCTTGATCTTATGAAATTAAAACTGGTAGATTATAAATATACACAAGTTTTTTGTTGTTTATTTTGTCGTAGATTGAGAATGAAATGAGGCTTTTGTACTTTTTTCCAGTGAGCTGGTGACATCACCGATTTTAGATTAGTATGGCAGTGGAGTACTGTTGAAAACTTGTCAGAGAACTCATAGGAACAGAGATGAGTCTTCCAATCTGCTAGCATATTTGCTGTCAGATTTGTTGAGTATACAGTACTCACAAGTTGACATCTTCAGAGGCAGAATACAGCATATTTCCAAACAGGAATGGGGGGGGGGGGGAGTACAGTACAACTTGTATTGTATGTTTTCCTTATTTCAGTACAGAACATAGCATGCGTATTTCAGTTTGGAATTGTAGTGCAAAAGAAATCTGCCTGCACTCACTCCTCTATTCAAAATGCAATCATCCTGACTTGTAATTAGAATGTACAGTATGCATGGCTATAGTGTGAACACACCTTTAGCCTGGTTTCCATAAAATTGTTACACTGCAGTACAGTGTTTTTATTAGGGTGTATTCACTATACTGTAGTACTTAGGATAGGAACTCACTATAGGGTGAAGTCAAAAAGGAAGTATTTAAGGGCCATCCATCAATTTCATTGTTATTTGTTTATTTCATGTATTTTCTGATGAATTTTTAATGAATATTTTCTGTTGATGGCATGGGTTGAAGAAGAGCAAGCACTGATAAATTGATACAATCATGACAATACCATCAAAATTCAAATCAGTCGCTTTAATGGTTACTTACATTTAAAATAATGAAACAGAAAGCTCAATTATTTGTACAATCCATCTTTGTTAAAATTGCCTTTTTCAATATATTACAATAATTTTAAAAAGTGTTACAAGAATATCTACAGACCCAATGTTATTAATAAACTGTACATCTTTCTTTCAATAATGTATAAAAGTCATTCTTAAATTAATTAAAGCCTGAAAATATTCAAAATCATTAAACAGACTAAATAGACTTCAAAATCAGCCAAAACCATCAACCTTCCCTGTAATTCACTACAAAAGAAAACACTTATATTTTTCTAAAAACCTGTCACCAACATAAACTTTAACATCTAAAAGATTTAGCTCACTTACAAAGTAACTAGAAATAAATAAAACTATTAAATAGCAATACTGATTCTATGTATAAAAAGCAAAATTTGACTTACATTTTATTGTCAATATTTTATACAATACAAGGTGATACAATATGCTGTAAATGATCAAATAAGCATTTTTCTTACATTGAATAAATAATATTGTATTTTATTTTTAAATAAGTATCATAAATAATGTCTTGCAATATTGTTTTACAAGGGCAATATACAAGATTTATATATTAACACAAAACACCAACGCACACAATACTCTTCCTCAGTTGAGATGGATTGAGTGCATGGAAGCTAGTGTTATATACATTTGAAGTATCCTTTGCTTTACCTGCTGTGTATTATAATAGACTGGTATGGCCCAAATAAAGTAACACTTTTAATACTAATGTTGTAACAAGTCAGATTGACATACATACAAAATATGGAACAGCACTACGGTAGAACCCCCTATTAAGGGGACATGTTTTCGGACAAACATGAGGGAATGTATATCTTTTAACACTATGGCAAACCCCTATTCAGGGAACAGTTTTTCAGGTCCCAAAGGTATCCCCTTAATGAGCATTTCACTGAAGCCTCCACAACTTACACAAGCTATGCTTTACTTATGTGATCATTTACAGAATTTTAAAAAATCCATTCTACATGGATGACAATTTATAGAAATGTCACACCTTCTAACAGGTACTACACATTCCTTTGCATAAACTTTTAATGTATCTAAAGTATTCGATATTCAATTTTTAAAAATACAAACAAGATCTATTGCAGCAGACAAAAATTGCTCTTGGGTGTATATATAAAGTACGCTGACTGCAAAGCTATATAGACGACAGAGTTATATAGGTGCCTACAGTATACAGTAATTGGACATACGGCTTTAGAAAAATACATTGTAGATAAAACTTGTTTTCAAAAAACTATCTGAATTCCATTAACACAATGAAAATGGACAGCTGCTCTACAGAAACCACTTTACAAAAATATTTTAAAAAAGAAGAAAAGATTTCTCTTGCCTCTTTTAGATCATGTCACATCACCTAAATGTTTTTAAAAATGTCTTCCAAAATGTTGTTACACAAAGCAGTATGTATGATCCATGATCCATACAGCTACCAATGCACATACACTTAAGATCCATCCACATTATCAAGTTTTCTGCGGCATCTGTAATTTGCCCATATATGGACATGATGACGTATGTAGGCACCCATATGTAAGCACATCATAGATCTTTGTCACAAAAAATTGTCTTTACATCCTTCATTTACTGGTCATACAAAGAAGTCCAAATTACTTTTGGTCGGAACCACATAATATAAATTCCTTTCAAAAATTCTATTAAATTGCATAATTCATACATTTTATAAGGATACTTAGTTCAAAACATAATTATTTTTGTTGTCCTAATAAAACATACAAAATCTCAAGTAATATGTATTACAGATGGATTTAATTTTGCTTGTTTGTCAGCTTCACACAGATTGACTTCTTTAGGAATTCATGGTTACTACCCAAACATCTTGGATGAGGATAAATTGAAGTATTAGAGCATTCTCATATTGGTATACAGTATAAACACCTATTAGGTAGACTAACTCCAGTTGACCACCAGCTGGTAAATGGTGAGTACTGTTACACAGCCTAGCTTTAGCCCAGCCCACGACAGCATTAGCAGGTAGGTAAGTTGAAAGCCCAAACACAAGTAGGGCTAATGGATGTTGGATGCTGATTGGTTGGCAGACTAGGGCTAGCATCTTAGGCTTAGGTGAATGTAAAATATTCCTGGCAGCATTACAAGAACAGCGAGACAAATTGAAATCCACATACAAGTAGTAGTAGTGAATGCTGAATAATATTTGCGGGATTTGATGATTGTCTAACAGCTTGAGAATCTAGAAAGAAAGGTTAAAGGGTATACATTTATACTGCACAAAATACTAGGGTCCCTATGTGCTTCAAACAAGTGAACAAATGTAATTGGTCATACAAGGAAAGACGAACTCTAAGCCAGCACCCAAACTGCAGTATGGGGATACGCCTTCCTTGCCGACCAAAGATCTATTCTGATAGAACTAGAAAAAAGCTAGCTGGCAAGGAATCAGGAAAAAAGAGAATTAAATCAGGTGAGGTTGAATGCTGATGAATGCTTTAAAAGCATTAAATTATTAACAGTATAATCACATTTTATGCGATCATGCCTTTTATGCGATAATTAGCAATTCAGTTTGTCAATACCAAATTCCAAAACATAGATAGAGTAAAGTATATATAACAATAAACTTATTTGTTACTATATAAAAGAGTTTAGCATATCGAACAATATTTCTCGACACATACAAACAAAAATAAAATATGAGACTTACTGTTGTCTATTCTGATTGGTTCGTCCTGCCCGATACCAATTCCACCTTTGCTGTAACCTTTGACCTTGATTAAGTACACATGATCTGGGTAGATTTGGTCAAGTACAACTTTGGTAGTTGGAACTTTGACCTGTACTGTCTTGGCATCATCTTCAAATGTTCCCAAAGGCCAGTAGCAAACCTAGAACAGAGGGTTTAATGCTATCAAATATTTTTAAAGGTTCTATTTAACAAAAACATGTGACTTGCCTACATATGGCCATAATGACATCACATACGACCATACAGAATATAGCCACATTATGACTATATATGGGCATACATCATTTCTTTGTCAAAGACAGCTTTACACAAACTGTCCTTAACAAAACTAAAATTTGGTCTGTTATAATACATTGTAACCTCAAAACCATTTTCAACGCAATTACTGTCAGTTTTTAAAAAAACTTACAAAAATATTACGATTAGCTTCTGATAATTTACAAGCAAAATGTTTGTATTGTACATACAAGGTTATGCTGCCAAGTAGTTCGTTAGAGGCAGAGATGTAGCAGTGAGTTTTTTTATGATGGTGTATATAATGGTGTGGGTTAATTAATATAGGGTTTTCCGTACATTATATCCGAGTCAATTCTACTAAAAATGGTTTAATTCCTAGAATTTCTTAAAACAATTAATTGATAAATAAATTAGTATTGATATATTTTACAAGTTTATCCACTTTCAAATCAAAAGTTTCTTGCTTAATCTAGGACTTTGTTTGATTGTTATAAATGTTATTTGTACAAATTTTGATTTCGATGTTGGCAGTAGTTGAAATACAATACAAAAAAATAAATTTCATAAATTTCTGCAGTTAGTAATTGATGAGATGGCTTGACATGATTTGGATGTTAGAGTGAGGATGAGCCAGCAAATTCCTGGAAGAGAAACATCAACTGCTAGTGTAGAAAGAATCGGCAATAAAATCCATTTCTTCCACATCTATGCTGGAATCACCATCTTTCCAACTAATGGTGGCTAGATAATTGTATTATAGATGCAACTGTACATGTATGCAAACATTTTGGGTATTAAAAAAATATTTTCTCCCCCAAAGTGACATTGAAATAAAGAGATAAAGATAAATGTTATAGTTTGAGTGATAGCAAACATTTAAATTTTAGCTAAATAAAAATGTTTAGATTTGTTAATCAATAATTATTCAGTAAAAAACAGTTCTTATTTGGAATGTTTATGCTGTATTTAGAAACTTTACTCAGGTTGTTTTAACTTGGCTTTTTTCACTATAATTTGCATACACAGCCAGGTGCTCTCCATTGATTAGCATTTTCAGTTTCATTATCAGATCAGTTCAGACATTGACTCTGTAGATTACACACATACAGTAAGTACTGCAGTAGAGAGAAATTATGTTCTAGCCACCTTTATGGTGAGTTGATTTTTGTTGCTTTTTAGTTTATCATTATTTTACAGCCAATGTGTGCATTTTTGATGTTCCTTTTTTCCTTAGGTTTTTCCTTTTTTTTTTTTTTTTTTTGTTATATCCATAGTACATATATTTTGATTGTATAAGCATTAAGGAATGCTTACCATATATCCCTGAAGTTTTTCTTCATTTGAAGACGTTGTTATCGCGTCCCATTGCACTTTAAGTTGATTGTATTTTTCACCAAAAGACACTTTAACATCTGCAGGGGCTGTCAGAGGGGCTGCAAATCAAATAATATAAGGATATATAAATATAGTCAACAAAAAAAACCACCACTAAAGTACATATTTTGTAGCAATAACCTACTCCAGCAGTAACTTTCATTGCCAATTGCATTACACTCAGTCTAAACTAAGTATCAAAGTAAACCATAAAAATATGTGGCAATGACAAGCTAAATCAGTCACTCATTGCAAAAATTGATTTTGAGTTATTAACACAGAGTTAAAAAGTAAAATAAGAGCTATCAAATGATGAAAAAATCATTCAAATTCGACATTTCCTTTTGAGGTTACAGGCGTTTACAGATACAGCTGTTTAAAGAACAATATATCAGAAATTATAATTTTGGGCATTTCTCTTTCAGAAACTATCATCAAATCCTTTAAAAAAGTGTCGTTTTAACATTGAAAATGGGGAAAATAACAGCATAGCAAGATATATAGGTATATAAAGTTTAGTTTAGTGCAATAAAAGGGATTTTTTAAAATTTGACATTCCAGCATGTTTTGGCCATTTTCACTGAAACACGATTTGCGACGAGTGACTGGTTTGGCTTGTCTTTGACACATATATTATCCTATTTACAGCTTTCACACACAGATTTAGAAATGTTTAATTTACTATTTTAGAAATATTTTTTAACAAAAATCAAGAACTAAATAGAAAATACAAATACTTAGTTTTTACGCCATTATAGAAATGTTTAATTTTCAAATTGATAAATTGATACCTAGTTGTATCAACAACATTGCTTAGTTTTAATAATTTTTACTTGTAGAATTGAGGTATTTACAGATTAATATTTTAAAATGTATTGTACCTTTGAATTACGTACTGCATCAAAAGAAAAAAGTCATCGAGGTTCATGTACTTAAAGCTGTTCTTAATTCTTTGGCACCAGTTTGATTTGAACCTAAAATCCTAGAATCGTAAGGTTGGCATCTCAACCACCAAGCTCAACAATTAACCACTACTAATGTTGTTAAGTCTGTTACACACCTGATTTATATGTTCTAGCAGTTGCAATACTGCTCCCTGGGCCTTTACCCCCGGCTGTGTATGCATACACCCTGAATTCATACAGTGTGTATGCTTCTAGATTCTCAATAACAGCCACTGTTCCTGTTCCAGAGGTGGTGTACATATAGGCACTTGATTCTGGTATATCTTCTGTCCAGTAGCTTATCTAAACCAGGAAATCAAAACAATGTTTTATAAAATATTAAAAATACTAATGAAAAAATAATAGTAATTTTCAATTTTGACAGTAATACATCATTATGGCATTTTATAGTCTAACAATTTCCTCAGAAAGGGTAAATTATGCAAACTAATAATTCACAACATTACAGCTGTTTAATTCTATATATTTCATCTAGTGCCTTTCAATACCAACAACTTAGTAAAAAAGTTTAAGCCACAAAGAAAAATACCATTTTATTTAGACAAGCTACCACAAGCAGAAATGCAAACCATTGGATTTTTAAAATGTAGGCAGTATTTCACTTTTGTTAAAGTGATTCAATCACTTTTAGGTTCCTGCCTGCTCTATGAGTTTACTGTCATTGTGTTTATGTTTTCAAAATTTTTTTTTTTTTTTTCATTTGATTTAGAATGATTAGGCAGATATCTGCAAGAGAAATACCACCCATATTTTGTTAATAATAATAATAATTTCTTTGTCTTATTTAAAATTAACATTGCCAAAATGCTTTACCATCAATGTTAGGTGGCGCAGTCATAAAAATCAAACATACCTTGTAGCCTTTGAATTGACCTTGCACTGACCGTGTGTTAATGCCATTCCATGATACCCTAATACTCATTGCTGATTGGACACTCAGACGTACGTTAGTAGGTGCCACAGTTGGTGCTGAAATACAAAAAAAACATATTTATCAAAATGATGACTTAAAGGTATTTATATCCTAACTCTGCGTAAATCTGTAGAATGTTCAATGTTTGAAACAGTGTTCAGTGGGACAACTTTCATAGCAATTTCAATTGGTTTACTTTTTGGAATCCCTTCTCAGAGCTGTTTTCAATTACTGTATAATTTCTGTTTTGTTTTGTTAGGCTTGTTTTATGAGAGAAAATGAATGAAATGAACGGTTGTTAAAATTATAATAATGTCACTGCAAATGCATTTTGTACTTCATTCATAGTCAATAAGCATGTTTACGTAAGTTTTTGTGATAAAGTTATCATGAACTAACATGATGAGAGCTTAAGCACGTTAGAGAAAACCGTTCATATAGAAACTACATTATGATCTATTTATGCTAATGATGAGCAGTGTTGCATGAAAACTACCTGAAGCACAACCAGTGAGGTTGTCTCGAATATCGGACCTGTTTATTAAACTGAACGCTGATTGGTTGAATTTTTGATCTCAGGAATTAATTTATCATGTTTAACAAGGTCAATGCATCAACATGCTCCACTAGATCACAATAAGGCTGAGCACTTGATTAGATTCTGGTAGGTCCACATAAAATGACTGGCTTGATCATGATCCCTTTGGTCATGATAAACTCTGAATGTGAACCTAGCTATTAACACTGTATTGCATTGAATGTAATTCTACTTTTTTTGAGCTTGACAGTTCTCTTGGCAGCAGTCTGCTCTGCTTAGCTGTTGCCTGTTGGGGTGATTTGTGGGACGCTTGGTCCAGGAAATTCCCATTACTCTCCATTAGCATATTGTTCCAAAAGCACTGATTACTTATTTAGTCTTAATACTGTAATCATAATTTTCAATTGGCAAATTTCTTTAGTGATTAGGTGAGACTTTGTTTATACCTTGTTTCACAAACTTATTTTTTAAAAGATCGTTAGAGGGCAGAAAAAATGTTTTCTTACTCAGCAAATGCTTTTGCCAAAAACATCCAGATGGAGGAGAAAATAAAAATAAATTTTTTTATTGAATGGGATGGTTAAATGCTTTAAATTTACATAATTAGAAAAAAATATACATATCTTATTTTTGGAGATTTCAAGACAGCGGTGGGTGTAACAAATATACAGAAAAACTTTAAAATTTTTCTGAAATTTTTATGTTTTTGGCAGCGGGTTCGCTAATTGGACAAAAATAGTTTATTTTTTTTTAAATCATCATCATTGACAGGCAGCGAGTTTGCTAAACAAGATATAAAAAAAGTCTTGCCTTACTTTAAGATAAATATTTGAATGCTAGATATAATTGTTGTTAAGCACTGCTGTTACTTTCAATAGTTTAATGAGCGAGTTTGCTAATTTCCCTACCTTCCTGATAAGAGAATATATTAACAGCACTGCTCTTAGGCCCTTCGCCAAAATCATTCACAGCTTGTATTTGCACGGTGTACTCGACGTACGTTTCAACATTTTCTACCTCATATATACCCAATGTGCCGTTATATATCAACGCGGACTCTTGTAAACCTTCGGAACCAACTCTTTCCCAGAACACCTTGTACCTTATGCTGGGGGCATTCCAGTCCTGCATTCCAAGAGGCTAAATGGGCAACAAAAATGGAATTAAATTATGATAAATTTAATAATGATTTTAATTGTAATAATATTTTATACATAGTTTGTTAAGTGCTTTGCAAATAATTATTTTAATATTTCTGTTTCATATTTCTGTTTCTTCGGTTGGTACTGAATAGATCCCAGACAGATGGGCATTGCCTTCTTCTGAGCACTCTTACCAGGTACTGCTCAGTCGTTTTATGTTTGTATTTGTAAATTTGAAGTAGTGAAAATAAATTATATGATATGATATACAAAAATTCTAAAAACATTCCGTATTATGTAAGCCCTTATCATTAAAACAAATTTACACCATTTCAATCTGCATTTTCACTAAATTAAGTCATTTCTCTTATCCATTAATCTTTTCCAGCTCTTATATCCTATGTTTCTTTAAAAACACTTTTAAGTACAATATCTTTTAGTTGATGAAGTTGAGAAGTTGAAAAATCAAATATCTACAATCTTCCAACTTCTTCTCAACTTCATCAACCAAAAGATATCGATAAGATACTTCTAATAATAAAAATGAAGTATAAATAAAAAATATCATTAAGGATACTATAATACATAATATAAATAGAAATATTTAAAGAAAACAAAATATTAAAAAGTAACAATACTAGAAACAATAAGACATCAATACTCTACCTCCCATGTGATACGAAGCTGGCCTTCTCGTCCGCCACCTCCACCAAGATTACGAGGTGCCACCGAGGGCGCTGTTAAGATAAATACAATTTGAATAGCATAAAAAAGAGGACTTTATTAATTGAAATAAAATGAAATTCTCAAATTAAATCCCACTTAGTTACTTACACTCTGTTCACACAATCAAATTTTAAGGGACAAATTTGTGAAATGATGTCACCCAAATATAGGCACATCTCAGCTATTTGTCACGTAAAATTTGATACTGTGACAAAGCTTTACTGCCAGGTGGGCAGTGTTATGCATTTGTGAATATACATTTCTACACTGAGAGAAGAATGCTATTTATAAATACAGTTGAACTTGCCTTAGTTGAATCCAAAATGCCATTGAAATATTGTTCAACTTAGATCAAAATTTTACTTACAGATTGTTAATTAATGGAAAACACAACAATTTGGCATGTAAAATTAGATCGACTTAGAAACTATTTGACTTAGGCAAGTTTAACTGTAGGTTCATAAAACCATTATACTTTATAGCTAGTTTTGCACCATGATTCATTCGAGTAAAACCATATCAATTTTGCAACTTGCATAGATGTTTCTACTGCAGCTTTTCACGATCATGATTTTTTTTTATAATAATAATTTTCATGATCACAATTGAAGTTGCAAGTTTTCTTAATGCATATGCCATGAGCATCTATATTTATAAATGTTTCATATTTCATGAGATTTGCAGCTGATCAACATCATATAAAATTATTTTTCCTCAAACTTACCTCCTGGAGTAGTTACCAGCTCAGGGGAAGGGTCACTTGGTTGGCCAGGGCCAAACCTATTAACAGCAATCACACGGAACATATACACACTCCAGGGTGAAAGGTTATTCAAGGTCACAGAGTCTGTGTCTACATCATTAGTAGGTGGTATATCTGCAAAAATAATAAAATTAAATAAATAAGCCAAATTTGCTATTTCAATGTATAGGGTTAAGTTAAACAGAATAGAAATGGCCGCATTGTTAAGTCATTCTTTAATTCTGTGTGATGGACATTAATTTACATTTCTTTTATATTATTAGTATCAAATTAATTAAAATCAGAATTGATGTTGGCAGTCTGAGTGAGAGGCTTTTACCTATATTTGTCAGGGGGGTTTTTTTGGAACTTACCTCACCAATAATGGAGCACAAATATACATTATGCAATAGGCCTTATTTCCCCTTTTTTTCATTTTTGTATTTCTGGGTATATCAGGCCTGATGTTACCATCAATACTGATGAGAGGCGGCCACAATATTTATATTTATATTATGTATAAGCCATGAAATACTCGCACCTAGAGCTAAAACAAAAGCGAAGTCCGCTTCACAACCTGTCAACAGTAGAAGCTGGGGTAAGTAAGCATGGCCAGCCGAGAAAGATCAGCATGTGATTTGGAAAAGGTTCACAACCTGATTGGAATTCGCTGTCCAAAACCGCCTACCCCAAAGCTCACCAATAGTAGTTGATAAGTAATCTGCCTTTTGCTTTCAATAACAGGTAGCTTATCACAACTGAAGGTGTTTAATAAACATGTGTATTAAATATGCAAACATAAGTGTACTGTACATGCAACTGCTGATTCAAATATTTACCCCTTCGAATCTCCATCCATTCTGGAATGTGATTGGTCATTCCTTCAACTCGGTATGATGTAATTGAACTCCTACCATCTCTCCCACGTGACCAGAACAAAGTTGCGCTTGTTGACGTTGTACTGCCACCTTCTATACGCACGCCAAAGGGTGCTCCAGGGGGTCCTGAAATAAATGTCAGTTGAAAGCGGTCACAAGATGAAACTTAATTGTGAAATTAATACCCTATTCAGATTACCATTAAATTGCGAACCCAATCGCAATTCACAATCATATGTGAAAGCTCACCAATGGTTGTCAATAAGTGATCAATATCGTAATTGCTACCTGTTGCAATTGGGTGCTACAATTTGTATTACTCCCAATTACTATGAAATCCGATCGCAACAAATTCCACAGGCACTGATTGGCTGAGGTCAGTCAACATAGGTCCGTTTGACCATATGATGAGTAAAGAGAAAAGTAGATGAATTGTCTTGCACAAGGACAACAGTTGTGTAACATGCATCAGTATCGGACTCATGCCCATCTGGTTTTAAGAGTAAAGACTTAGGCTGCATCATATGTTTCAATGCAATGGATTTTTCCAGAGTGTCAATCAAACTTAACTGACCAATCAGAACAGTGTCAGGAATATGCACGTATCTAACAAGCGCACATATCTCAGAAACACACATGTTTGCACATGTTTTAACACTGTTGTTTTGTGGGGCCTTAGTAACGATATCCAAGGGAGCGGAAAGGTCCAATGAGTCATTTGCTGATCAATGACTGCATCTTGGAGTATTGATGTACATTGATAAATACTCACCTTGGACAAGAATGGTAGCAGATGAGGACACCTGGTTGATGGTTGACGTTGCGATGCAGGTGTACTCCCCCTCCTGGTACATTGTTGTGTCTTTGATCACTAGGTTACCATGGGTGTCAATCATCTGTTGTCATGGAAAAATGAAAACAAAATTAGAAGAAAAAAAGGGCTAGAAAATTCCTACTTCATATTTGTCTTCCTGCTACACGGTTACTTGAATTTCAAAATAGTTCTCTATGAATATTTAGCCTGTCAAAATAGTTTTGCCCAAATCTCTTAAGCTTTGTCTACACTATCAACTTTCTTGTGAAAAATTTGTGTAGTGTGCCTTTATATGGGTATGGTGTTGTCATATTACTCCCATATATGGGCATATTACAGTTGTTTGTCTAATAAAATTTGGAAGTATGGACAAAGGTTTATAAAACTATGCATCCGGAATTACAATACATATAAAGCTAAGTTTTATGTTTTTTTATTACTTGTTTGTTGTATAATTTAAGTGTAAAGTACATAAAGGCATTTGCGCTATGTGCACTTTACACATATATCGGTGGAGTTGAATGGTCGAGCGGTTAAGTCAGGGGCACCGCAATGTACAGCCACAATATTGACGCTGGCTTGAGCGGCACGATCTTCTATGGTTCTCGGATAAGGACTATAAACCGTAGGCCCAGGTGGACACAATTTGGCTCATGTGCACTTAAAGAACCAACACCTTTCAAGACGAGGAGGGGTCATCCCGGTGTACTGGTCCATACTGCCCCTGTTAGGGACAGACGAGAGTAGCTGGTACCGGTTTACTGGGTAGCTTAGACATGAAGAGATCGTTAGGGGAGAAGCAAGTTACAGTAGGAGATTGTCCACACTTCGAGTGCTTTAAGAATTCAGTATAAAGCGCTATATAAATCAACTACATTACAATATGGATGTAACAGTATCTTTTATTTCTGCACCAGTACTTTGGAACTCTATCACACTGAACAGTTAATCTTCATCTGGTAAACACATTCTCATCGGTTTTCACTATTACCATCACCTTTTCAGGTAATATCTATATAAGGAATATTTTCCACACATGATTATATCAGATAATAAATATTTAAAAATGTTACCTCCATGTCCATCTCGTAATGCTTAAGATCCAGATCATCGTGATCCTCTTCGCCATCAAGTTGCAATTTGTAACCGTTAAAAAGCCATGTATATGCCAATTCTAACGTATCGTCAGCCCTTGCTTCACACTTGACTATGTTGTCCCTTCCAGCACGAATCGTGTGGTCCACAGGACTCATAAAGAAAGTCACCCCCTCTATCATATATAAATATTAATCCCACTTCAATATGAAAATAATTGTGCCAATTGGAAATATATGAACAGTTCTGTCACAGTGAAAATCAATGAATAGTCAACCATTTGGAACTTGTCATGCCAAAATCAGCCTCAGTTACCAAAACAAGAAAATCAACTTTTTAATATATTCATATTCCCCATATTATAAGCTTAAATTGAAAGGTTGGCAGGCTTACTATTGCCAACGTTAAGTGAAAAAGTATTATGGCTTCGCTGTACCACAATACTGCCACTTTCTTAGGCTAATTACTCAGTTTAATACTTAGCAACAGTACGCTCGTGTTGGGATTTTAGGCCTACATACCTACTGTAATGAACTGTTTTTTATAGGTACAATGTAATACACATGTTGCAACGAAAGCCCACCATTTAATACATGGTACAATTAATGGTGAGTTCATACATGTGTTGCAATTGAAGACTGCCATATAATACATGGTTCAACTAATGGTGAACTCATACACCGGGAAGGTCATTAATACAATACATTGCTTCTTTTAACAATAGAACTCCAAAAACAATGCTTCTTACCTTTGACTACAATGGAGCCTGTACTAGTGTTAGTACCCATATCGTTAGTAGCCACACAGCGGTACTTCCCTCCATCACCTCGATGTATATTCATAATGATCAGATCCCCTGAATTGTCATCGACAAAAAATTTGTTGCTCGTGCTAATATCCTCCCACTGGTTATTGGCGCCTTCCCGCTGCCAAACAATCGTTGCCCTTGGTGCCGATTCGGGGCGACAGCTCAAAGTGGCATTCTGTCCGAGAGCAGCTGGCTGGGCAATATTTACAGGGATGTAGAAAACTGGCGGGAATGCTGAAAGGTAGAAGATAATTGTAGCCAATATTCAACCACATCTTGACATGAATATGTTTAGTAGCAAAGTTTATAGGAGAAAAATGATTTCAGAGTAGGTTTAGGTAGGGAATAACTTTAGAATATTATACAAGCTTTACTGAGCAGCAGAATTGCTCAAAGTTGTGGAGTTAACAGACCAGGGGCCGGATAAAATTGAACACCCAAGTAACCTTCTACCCTTTTACAAAGAAAGTTATAATTGAGCCAATTATGCCATCAGTTTAGAATCCTTACTTTTAAAAACTTGGGTCCTGCAACTGCAAACCAAAATCTGCACTTACAGCCCCCCAAGCTGTTTCCCATCCAAGTACTAACCAGGTCCAGTGTTAAATTTTGTGAACTGATAAGAACTGTTGTTTTAGTGTCACAGAGGTGTAGCAGACAGAATGTTAACACTCTGTCTACTGTACACTATCAAATTTTGCTTGAAAACTGCTATATGTCTATATATGTGGTCATGATGTGATGTCATCATGGCCATATTTAGGTATGTCGCATGTTTTTGTCAAATAAAATGTGATAGTCTAGATAGGGCTTTAGAGCAGAGAGTTTGGCCAGGCACAAGTCTTGCAAGAAAGGACTAGAGATAGACTATTGGTAGTAACAACAGCCAGGTACAGTAGTAGAGAACCTTTAGGAGGAACTAGTAACAAAAAACCTAGTAGCACATTTTGGCAACAGGAGCCAGATGGTAGAGGGCAGCAACTAGAAGGCTACTAAGAGAGATTGTAGCAAGGGCCTAAGAGTGTGTTCACACACACTGCGTATGGCTAGCGTAGCTTACGCAAGACGCAAGCTAATCCACATATTAAAATTCCAAAGTGTTCACACGAACGGCGTTCGCTATATTAACGCTGGTGTTAAAAACGTCAGCAACCTCTCGGTACATACCGAAGACTATTAAGAAACAGCAGTGTTATTGTTTGTTGTACACGCTGTTGATGACGTTTAACTGCCTTCGCTTTTGCCGTTTTTTTTTTTATTGAAGAGAGTTTAGCTCATGAGGTGTACAATGTAGGTCTAGACACAGAAACCGTGCTTGTATGTCTGAAGATGGATCTTCTTTGGCATTTAATCCAAGAGCCATTTGTTCAATGTTACTATTAAAATAGACTTTTCTAAACAATATACAACTTCCTAATGAAAGCGACTGGTCGCTTTTTGTTATTGAAGTAGCTTGTTTCTTTGTTGAAGAAATAATCGTGATTAGTCAATCACTTGCCTTGAGGCCAAAATCATTCAAACATCACTGGCGTCAGCTCCACAGCGCTAACTAATCTGGGATCTGCATGTGACGTTAATAATACCACAGACGTGGCGTTCTGCGTGGCATAAGTAACGCCACTGCCTAGTTCACACACAAAGGCGTATGTTACACAAGCCTTAGCTGTGTGTGTGTGTGTGGTGTGTGTGAACATACCCTAAGTGACAGAGAGCTGGTGGTGGAAGTAGGTTTGTAGATAAAAGGGACAATAAGGTAAGTTGATACAACTGATTTATCATAGGATATTCACTGCTGTTTACTTTTTGTTGATTCATGTACTCCTCCTTTACTTTTGATTTCCTGTTGCAATAATTTTTTATCTTAATTGTATATAAAATGTCATTTAAATTTTAATTATTTAGCGAATCATTTATTTTTGTACTTGAATTTTTTACTTAATGTTGCCTAATTGTTATGCCTTATTGTAGAACATTTATGTGTTTAGTGGGTTTGTGAAGTTGTTTTGTAATGTTTTTTTCTCCCCTTTTGTTAAACTTCAATTTTGAATGAGAGATTTGAATAAAGTTCTTCGTATTTCATATTTCGTATTTGACTGTGTCTCTTTTTTTGTCAGAAGAGACCTATCAACAGAGCAGAGGGAGGACACGAATGATCATACATATATAATGACTTCATACAACATAAAAAAATAAAAAAACAGGAGGGGCGGACGGAGTTTTTATGCTGTTTCAGAAAAGAGAAAAATAACCAATAATAACCCAGATGTTAAAAATAACCAATGAAAATTACTTACCCCTGACATTCAACTGAGCTGTTGACAATATTAGTCCAAACTCATTCTCAGCTTTGCACTGGAACATGGCATCATCATCCTCCTGGAGGTCCTTCACCGTGAGGGTCTTCAGACCATTACCTATCACATACTTAGCGGATCCTATGACCTTGACGCCATTACGATACCATGTGTATGTGATGGTTTCGGTGGATTCCGCTACACAATTCCAGGTTACCTCGCCATTGATATCGCCATTCTGGTCCTCGATCTCATTTACCCACTCAGGCCGAGCTGTGCAAGAGAAAAGTGTTAGTATTTACTTTATAAATATAACAACAAAATATGTTAGCTAAATAAAAAAGGCCAAAAAAAAAAAAAATTTGTTTGTGCTTTGGAAAAATTAAAAAAATGTGTACGGTCGGTAGAAAATACACACAAATAATACAACAATTTGAATTTGATTCGCGTACCATCCAGCAAAATAGGCTAGCATTGGCCCCCTAGCCTCGCCAAGGCTATTCCAGCCTTAATTTCTCATAAAAAAATATTGTTCGGTGTCAACAAAGAAAATGCAGACCCTTTTAATTTCATAAAATTTGGGTCAGTCAGCCGTGGCCAACATAATATTTTTATTTTTTTTGGCTTAACAAAGAATGTGAATGAAGTGATAAATTTACATTTAACAACAACACGGCCTTCATTACTGAGACCGCTCTGTACGGTATTCGAAGCTGAACAGCGGTACGTTCCAGAATCTTCTATCTGTATATCTGGTATGACAAGCTCTTGGCTACGTTCATTCAGGTAGGAACCCTCAGGAAGACTTAGTCCATTTGTTCGTGTCCATGATAATGTAGGAGCAGGCCTAGAAATGAAGAGAATATGGGATGATGTCTATTGGAGATTAATGATGATGATAGTAAAGATAATTCAATTACATTTTCACCATCATATTCCCTACTTTAGTACATATTAATTGTTGTTTAATAATCTTAGAATTAAGTTCTTGGGTTCAGTAGCATGCTGAGTATGACCATTTTGCAACTTTATATCACTTTTGTCAGCATACTAGCCAACAATAATACTCCATGGATGTTCACTATGATTCAACTTTTAATGGTCTATAAAAACACATGTACAATTATATTTTTTTTTCACGATATGATGTGAATATACCTCCTGCTTGTGTATTTGTTTCAGTACAATAATGTCAACAATATTATAATCTTGGAATTGATTTTATGAAATCTATTATATACATAACATCTAGGTTCCATTGTAATAACAATATAACTACTACTTGATTCTTGTATATAAAACCAACCCAATAAAAAAGATGATGTTGAACACACAAAGCTATTAATAAGATAACAGAGGGTAATCAACATTTTACAGGATTTATTTAATAAAACAGGTTCTCCAAAACTAGTAATGAATATCCCTCCACTTGGGTGTCAGACAAAACATATGCGACCTCGTCGCTAAATTTTAGCCAATTTGGCCAAATTCTAATCGTACTTGCAGATATTAATTGACTTAAAGCAGTAAATCGACGTCACACTGACGTAGTTCAGTATGCACAATGTTTTAAGCACTAGAATATTGTGCAATCTTGCCTATAAGCCTACAGTATGTACACAGGTACTGTAGAAATAAGCTTTTTTACTTGTTATTAGTTACTCTTTTCCAGGCAATTTAGTGACTTTTCAAAAATATAGCCAAATTTGATAAAGCGACTTTTCATATTATACAACCAGGCAAATTTTTATGCGGCTAGATTTGAGGAATTTGGCTGGTAAAATGGCCGAATGGCAACCCTGTACAAGGACACATACACTATTATTTACTCACCTGCCACTGAAGAAACATTGAAGGGTCACGGTGTCCCCTTTTAAAACATTATGGGTGCCAACTGGCTGCATTACCTGAGGGGCAGAGTTTTGATCTCTGAATGCTAGAGGTAACATCAAATTGGAAATAAAAACATTGATATTCATTATCATCCAAATTAATATAAATAAAATATAAGATTAAAAGAGACTTCAGCAATACATGAATAAATGACATATATGAAATGCAATCCTGTGTTTTTTTTAATGATTTAAGGCACTACACATCTGTGTACATGTGATAAAAATTGGTAGAAAGTCGTCCTAGTTTTAAAAACTACTCAATACTTATATTAAGTGTTGGATACTTCACTCCATATAAAATGATATATCATGTGTCTATGCATTTTATTACTTATTCCCAATATTCATAAAGTTGACAGAGAAATAAATTCTGTGAAAATTGTTCTGAGTGTTATTTCGTAAGTAATATCTATCACTCGGTATTAATAAATATCCAGCTCTTTCCTGAGCTTATGTTTGATATATATTAAAATTGATGTTAAGCATATCAAATGTACTCGGGTTGAGTTATATCAACCATTAGGTACTAGTATTAAACTAACAATATTAAAAATTATCATCATGTTCACAGTCACTTAAACCACCACAATTATCATTCTCATCACTGAAACACTGCTATTAATTAATAATAAAACATTAGGCTTTAGTCACCATTATTATTATTATTATTATTATTATTATTACTATTATTATTATTATTAC